ACATATATATATATATATGTATATATACATATATATATATATGTATATATATATATATATATGTATATATATATATATATATATATATATATGTATATATATATATATATACCGAGAGATACTGCTCGGTATGCTCATATCGTATTGTATCGAGCAAAGCTTGAAATTCAGGTATAGTACGAAATTCAGGTATAGTACACTACCATCAAGAATGTCTCTACATATAATCTGACAAAATAAAATTATTAATTCTTCATGTTAAGACAGATATCATGAATAAGGAAAAAACTTTTGGCACAGTACTAACTTGAAGTTAGTGATTAGATACACCAAACTTTGGTCAAACCAATGTACTCTCTAGTTCATCCTTTACATCAAAGCACTTCTCAAAGCCCCTCAAGACTTAATAACCCCATATACTCCTAACATTAGATTATCGTCGAGGGAAGAGGAAATATCACATAAGAAAAGACATAATGGAGATTGATTCTAGCATTTTCTTATACTTTTAAGTATTCATACTCAGGAGTCATTAATCATCTACAGAATGAAACAAAATGCTTGATGACTAAATAGCTTATATTAAAGCATTCTTCATATGTAATCCAGGTTACTAAGAAAACACGAACAGTTTCATTGATGGAAATTTCAAAATGACAAAGTAAAAAAACCAAAGAAACACAAATCAAACCACACTTAAGTTTCATATTATGGAATTAGATCAAGTAAGCAAACTACATTACTCCACGGAACCTAAAAGAACACTTCCTAATTAGCTTAGGACAATAAGGCATATTGCAAAACATAGCAGCCAATACCTCGACCAGCATGGCCTCCACTTCATCTTGCTTGAGATCAGAGCTCTCTGGCAAAATTATCTATAATCAAACTAATGCACATGCTAGAATATTTTAAAAAATCTTTATTAATATTATTTTATATGTGGATAACTGAATATATAAAGTTATAAAAAAATTAGAGAACATTAGATATAATGTTTAGCACCTTTTAGGGTTTTTTCATTAATGTCAATAAAACTATGTAAAGGTCTATTCACATATCTTTTACATATATGCTTTACACCATCAAGAATAGATAGGAGATGACTCCAACCATAGTAGTCAATATTTAAGGTCCTAACCACAAGCATATCCTCCATTTCATCCTGCTAAAGATTAGAGCCATCCTGCACAATGACAAATTTAAGATATCATTTTCATAGGGAAAAAAAATGAAAGCTTGTGCATGTTTTGCATTATTTAATGTCATAACTGACTCCAGAGAAAAGAAAGGCTTGGCTTTGCAAAATCTTTTCACGATATCTTTTGGCCTGCCTTAAACGAAATGGGATACTAGTCAATGGCTCGATGGAACAAAGGCATCAATACAGTTTTCTATCTCGATACCTCTTCTTCAGCAATCTAAAAAAATGATCCTCGTAGCCAGTTCTTGAATCTAAATATTGCAGCAACATTCAGATGATTTAACAAAGCTTCATACACAAGGATGCAATAAAAGACAAGCTTCATACAACAAACACCTAACAATGATCTTCATATAGTTTAAGCAGGTGTTTATCATACAGTATCCCATATGAAAACTGCTATGGTGTCAGAAATGACTCTGTATCTGACAACTAATAATGTCTCAGTCCAGATGGTACTGCTTGATTCTTAAAATAAACTATTAGGATACTTAGTTCTTAGTCTATCCCTCAAAATAGTTATTTGCGACAATAATATGGCTAACAGCAAAAACAATCAGGAAACCACTGAACTACAAGTGATCCAAACAAGTGTTTGTAGCTTCTGCTTCGACAAGGCCTGTAATTATACACATGCATGACCTATATCAGTGTGTGTTTAGTTCAAATTATGAAATTTAGAGTAGCTAGTAGAATTGACTTAAACTTTACTGTTTTTCTTATTGATCCTGCTAACAATCGTATCTCAAGAAGGTAGTCTGGTAAGATGGATACATTACAGACCAGGAGCTCAATTCCAAGGCTACCTTCAAAGTTCAAACTACATGGTTGTCCCAAAGTTTAGTTTTGAAATTGTAAAGAACTAGAATAACATAGAGATCAATTACCGATGATATATCATAATATCTACAATTCTACATTATAGTTATAGTACAGAGGGGCTTATTTATTGTTTACGAGATCATGAAGAATTCTTCTTATCGTTACTTGAAGTGAAAAATGCCAAATAGGTTTCAACATAAAGAACATTAGCCTTTTATCTCTTCCTTTTGTTTAGCATTTCTCCTTAGAACGGCATGTATACTGCTTTATAGCTTAAGTTGAAGTTCTCTTGCCCAATCATGCACCTATGCTGGTTAATTGGCCAACGCAGCCATTGCTAATTATCTTTAGTGCAAAAACCTACCAGATGCTCTTGTTCATGGATCACAAACAAATTTTTGAAGTCATGAAATGTAGCAGAAATTACTACAACAAGTCGAGTACATGTGATGTTTTCCTAATTCAATCATAAACCTGAATGAATATCTAAGTACCCATACCCTTCATAATAAGTCCAACTTGGCAACTATTTTCCTCCCTGTACCCATTTGAAACCAATTTACAAATATCTTAGTCCAGCTTAAGCAGACCCATGCTGTCAAGTACCAATTTAGGCGTGTCAAGTAGCTGTGGTAACCTGACCCATGCTGTCCCTATTTGCTATAGTGAGTTCGATTTATTAGCCTGCATGTCCAATGACTTGTAGTGTTAGTACCCTAACATCCTAACTTTCGCATTAGAATAAAGTGATTCTGGTCAAGATATCATAAAGTGATTTTGTAGTAAAAGTCATAGGTATTGAAGTAGTATTTTGAAGTAGTATTATGAATGCATCTGTTAATTAATGGAAATTCCATAATAAATGAAATAATGGCTTCAAACTACTTAACTATCTTACATATTTAGATACGATGTAAATAGGAAGTCAACAAAATCTAATGTTACCCTTGACCTGACTGAAGATAACAAAATATGTATTTTGCATCTATACCTGCTGAAATGTTACCCTTTGTAAAAGTTTTAAATCTTTACTAAAAGGAATTAGGACAGTTTCGTGTTATATTACACCAATGAAGAAAGCTTTGTCTCAAATTGTGTTGTAACTTCATTGATGCATCTAATGGATAAAAAATTCAACTTGATTCATTTCCTTGGAAAAAGATTATGATTTTGCTTGCCTGGAACTTTTTCTGGGAAAAAATAAAATCCATATATGTATAACCTATGATATCACTGAACTTTATTACTCCATTTTTCACCACTTATGTTACTATAGCAAAAAATGAACGAAAGATAAAGCAAGATAATTAATGAAAACAACAAGCATGAAAATGAAGCAAACAAGAGATCATACACCAACAGCATACCTTTGAGGAGCAAACTAAGAGCATTCCTTTAAGGAGCGTACAAAGAGCATACCTTTGAGGAGCCTGAAGAGGAAGATGCCTCTAAGAAGATTCCATGAATGTACCAGAACCATGTACTTTATGCTGCCACCTATATACACACAACACACATTTAGTTCCTTATGCATAACCAAAAGTTAATGAACCACTTAAAAATAACCCGCACAATTAAAACAACATGTATTCTTTTTTGTGTAATTCTTCAACAATCCTATTGAACACTAATGCTTTTGCAACAACTGGAAATTTGATGCAGTCATCCCTGCAATAAGAGAATTTAAACTAGAGATTGGCTTCAAAATTGTAAAGATCAACAAAAGAATAATGCTTTAAGAAGATACCTGCTTTTTCAATTCTCCGACTTTCTTTGAGAGACTAAAGCCTTCAAAATGGACCCTGCAATCAGTGCTTGAGGTATTTAACGTTTGTCGGTAATATCAAAATTACATATTTCTCAAGAAAAAATAGAATTTATTTTAAAAGCAGCTCAGATACATATCTTCCTGACTAAATACTGATCTAATTTCTAGTGTGCTGATATATTGATCACAAATCAAGGAATGCAATTTTGGAAACAACACCCATGTCGATCGATGACCAAACCGGTATAGATCTAATCATCTAATAATTTCCATCATATTGGCACACAATATGCAGGAACATACCATTGCACTGGGAGAGTGGGTCTGGGGAGGAGGAAGATCTTGTAAGGAAGAAAAGGAGGTGGTGGAGAAAGAGGAAGATGAAGAGGGAGGAGAGGAAGATGGAAGGCAGTAGAGGAGGTGATGGAGAAAGGAGGAAAAAGAAAGTACATAGGAGAGAGGAAAAGAGAGGAAGAACAAACGCGGGAGGAAGTGTACCCAAAAAAAAGTCACCATTTATTTTCTTTTTGGGTCAGACCACCGGAAATGGGTTTGGTCTATGCACTGGTTCACGCCTAGACCAGTAAACGATCAACGGGGACCTATACATCAACAGGAGAAAAAAATATACTGGTTTTAAACATCAAGTGTTTAGTTATAATAGCTTGTCTACCGCTGTCAACCAATTATCAAGGAAAGCCCATATTTTCTCATTAATGTTTAATTGCTTAGACTATAATCAAGATGGACACAACTTGTGATTCGCAAGAATGCACTTGTTCTATTTTGAGAATGATCAATAGTCCTTGACTTACATTTATGACAAATTAGTCGATCCATGTGGGTAGTAAGTATGCATTTGTTGTATTTCAAGAATGATCAATAGTACTTGCTTCAACAAATTAATTGATGTGGGTATAATTTTATTTTAAAACACAAAGAATGATGCAAACACTAGATTTTTTTAAGAAAGGACATCATTAACATTATTTTATTTGTAGATATATAGAGATATAAAAAATATATATATAAAATATATAAAAAATATATAAATGTATGCAATCTTACTTTTAAATATTTAAAGAGACTCTCGTAACATCATAAATAAAATTTATTACCTTTTTCATTTATGTCAATAAAAAAAAGTGATGATCTACCTCAATTTTTCTATACAAACCATACATATATATTTAACATAAAAAACTAGGAGATCATTATAGTCAGAGCAGTTAGTTAATATTCAATCTTCTGACCACCAGAATGTCCTCCACTTCATCCTGCTTGAGGTCAAAGAAGGAGAAGAGAGGTGTAAAATTGTTGGGAAGAAACCTGTTAATGCAGAATAATTCTTTTCCCTCTTTGTGTATCAAAATAGGTTCCTCATCAAAATACCAACTTGATATCAAAATGCTAATATCAATCAGCACAGCATAAACAATAGAGCAATAAATCAATCACACAGTGAGACCAAATCTTTTTAACGTGGAAAACCCAATGTGGGAAAAACTACGGGACCGTAGTCCACCTCAAACTTCCACTATCAATAATAATGATAACAGGTTTACAGTAGGTCTTCTCTAGAATAACTAGAGGATCAGAATAACATCAAGAACATAGATCTTGGCTCAAGAATAGCATATCTTCAGCACGTGGATCTCCTCCAAAGAGAATTCTAGGTCTCACAAAGTGGATATCGCAGGAAAGTACCTTAGAGAGGGTAAACTGCAGATCAACACCGTTAGGATTGTAGAGTTTGCTGCAAGGATTCTCCACATAAAATTTGGGCCGAAACTGACAACGTGAAACCTTACTTTCTCTCTCTATTTCTCTCTCCTCTTTTCTCTGCACGTCGCCGCACGCTCTTACTCTAATCTCACCCTAATTTCATTCTCTCTAATCTCCAATTAGTTGATTTGGGCTTATGGCCCAAATTGTCCAAGCCCACATATGGACTGGACCCAACAATTCTCCCCCTCCAGCTCATATGATGGGCTGTACCAAGCCCGCTCTTCGCCTACATGCTTCAAGCTTCTCCTTAGGCAAAGACTTTGTCAACATATCTGAACTATTATCATTGGTATGCACCTTTTCTAACTGTAATTCTTTCATCTCAAGCACATCACGAATCCAGTGATATCTCACATCAATATGCTTGGATCTAGAATGGTATGTTGAATTCTTGGAGAGGTGAATAGCGCTCTGACTGTCACAGTAAACAGTATATCCTTCTTGTTTCAAGCCCAATTCCTGTAGAAACTTTTTCATCCATAAAGCTTCCTTGCAGGCTTCAGTAACTGCTATGTATTCTGCTTCTGTGGTTGATAGAGCAACACACTTCTGTAACTTAGACTGCCAAGAGACTGCTCCTCCTGCAAATGTCATCAAGAATCCCGAAGTGGACTTCCTGGAATCAGTATCACCTGCCATGTCTGCATCTGTGTACCCTTCTAACACAGGTTCATCATCACCAAAACATAAACACAACCTGGAAGTACCTCTTAGATATCTTAATATCCATTTCACTGCTGCCCAATGTTCCTTTCCAGGATTTGAGAGAAATCGGCTAACAACTCCAACTGCATGAGCTATATCTGGCCTAGTACAAACCATAGCATACATCAAACTGCCTACTGCAGATGAGTAAGGCACTCTGGATATTTCTTCTTTTTCTTTCTCACTTGTAGGACATTGTTTCGAACTAAGCTTGAAATGACCTGCAAGTGGGGAACAAACTGCTTTGGTTTTACTCATGTTGAATCTTTCAAGAACCTTTTCAATGTAAGTCTCCTGAGATAGCCAAATCTTCCTTTTCTTCCTATCACGAAGAATCTTCATGCCAAGTATTTGTCTCACCGATCCTAAGTCTTTCATGGCGAAAGACTTACTTAGCTCTCTTTTAAGCTTTTCAATTTTTCCAACATCATGGCCAACAATCAACATATCATCAACATATAGCAGTAAAATAATAAAATCATCATCTGAAAATTTCTTCATAAACACACAATGATCAGATGTGGTTCTATCATACCCTTGGCTCATCATAAAGGAATTAAACTTCTTGTACCACTGTCTAGGTGCCTGTTTGAGTCCATATAAGCTTTTCCTAAGCTTACATACCAGATTTTCTTTTCCCTTGACTTTGAAACCTTCTGGTTGCTCTATGTAAATTTCTTCTTCTAAGTCACCATGAAGAAATGTTGTTTTTACATCAAGTTGCTCAACTTCTAAATTCAAGCGGGCAGTCAAACCAAGAACAACTCGGATAGAGGACATTTTCACAACCGGAGAAAATATTTCTTCAAAGTCAATACCTTTCTTCTGACTGAATCCTTTCACAACTAGTCGTGCCTTGTATCTTTGTTGTGAGCTATTATTTTCAGTCTTCAATTTATAAACCCACTTATTCTTGAGAGCTTTCTTCTCTTTCGGCAGCTTTACCAAGTCATAGGTGTGGTTCTCAAGCAAGGATCTCATCTCTTTTTGCATGCCTTTAACCCACTCACTCTTATTCTCATGTAGAATAGCTTCTTGGTAAGTTTCTGGCTCTCCCCCGTCAGTAAGCATAACATACTCATGTGGAGGATATCTGGTAGAAGGTTGTCGCTCTCTAGTGGATCTTCTTAATGGAATCTCAACTGGTGGTGGAGGTGTATGTTCAGTTGGTTCAGCATCATCAATTGTAGGTGTATCATCACTAGTATTCTCACCACAATCTTCTTGTTCATCTCCCCCATGATCATCATGAACTACAGGTGAAGGAACTGGACCCAAACTCCAAGGAATATAAACAGAGGTTTCTGGCTTCTCAACATTATCACCATCATCAAATAATTGGTCTTCAAGAAACACAACATCTCTGCTTCTAATAATCTTCTTATTCACTGGATCCCATAATCTGTACTCAAACTC